AAGCTGAGAAGATGTTGATATAATTGTTGATTTATTTGTATTGGGAGATGATATTGATAAATGTATTTTTTATTGTGACAGTTAATGCTTTGTTAGTTTTATTCAGATGTATTTTTATTAAATAATGTGTCTGAAAAATTGGGGCGTTGCAAGTATGTTAGAGGGAAAGAGAGCTGAATGAGGGAGACGTAACATTAGATAGTATGAAATAAAAAGAGAGTTATATGAGAGACATGAGTCTTAGAATTGTAGAGAGAATGAAAGTCTTCTTCAAAAAATTAGGGGAAAATTTCGCATTAGGACTATCGAATCAAAATGATTTGAACCGCAAAAAGTTCAAGACAAACAATCTATCTGATTCACTAGTTATTATTTGTGCTTGAAGACACAGAATAATAAAAAAATAGTCCACAATAAATAAATTTATATTCACACCTAAAATCAAATAACAAACATAGAAGAGAGAAAAAGAAATTTAAGTACCAATTGTAGTGGGGGTGAGCGATGGTAGTGTTGGTGGAAAACGATGATGTTTGTTTATGGGTGGCGATGACCCTGTTGGGTGTCAATGGTGATAGTGGTGGTGGATTTTCGGTGACTATGGTGGTAGTTGCAGCCATGAGTGACAACGGTGGTAGTGGTGGTGGTGGATGTGGGCAATGGTGGTTGGCAGTGGTGATGGTGGGGCGATGACAATGGTGGTGGCAGTGGTGGGTTGTGGTGGTGGGCGGTGACGATGATGATGGTGCGCGACGACGAATGCTTTTGGGTAACAGTGTGATGGTTGGTGACGAATGATAGTAGTGGTGGTAGGTGTGATGGGAATGAGTGACAGTGGCTAGTGGCGATGGTGGGTGATGATGGATGGTGGTGGATTATTGTAGTGGGTGGCGGTGGGCAACAGTGGTAGTGGGATGATAGTGTTCGTAGTAATAAATATAAGAATAAGATGATGATGGCAGTGGGTGATGGCAATGAACGACGATAGTAACAATAAATGGTAATGGTAGGGTGGCGATGGGGCAATGGTGGTGGTGGAAGTAGAGTAGTGGTGATGAAGGTTGTTGTGGCAGAGGTGGTGAGGGGGTGGCTGCGATGGTGATGGTGGTGATGGTAGTGATGATGGTGGTTGTTGTGGCAAAGGTGGTAAGGGGTGGCGGTGATAGTGGTAGTGGTGATGGTGGTGGGGCTGGTAGTAGGGGTGAGGGTGGTGTAATGGCGACGGTGGTAATTATTGTGGTGCCCATGGCTGTGGCGGTAATGGTGATGGTTGTAAAACCCGAAAAAATTAAAATTTGATTAAAAAGAGTAAAATGATAGTTAGTCGTTACAGTGCGGGTTAAAAATTGAATTTTTTTTAGAACTTAGATGATAAAACGGGCCTTATCGTTGGATTCGTATTACAAAATCTAGTTTCTTAGTCAATTTTCGTCGAATTCTGAGATAATAAGATTTTTTGTATTTTATGAGATGATTGCGCATCGCGTGACTAAAATAAACATGATCAAATTTTATTCTTGAAACTCAAAAAATAATTTAAAATTAATTCAATAAAAATGCACTAAACTTAACACATGACAAAATCTAATAGATTCATAATGAAATTAGACCAATTGAAGAGGGAGGTGTGATGTATTGTACACCAAGCATTCAAGGGGTATAAAAAGGGGGAAAAATCAGATTTTTCCCCATTCTTCACCAGCCATTTCCAAAAAATTGAGAGAGAAACAAAGAGAGAAGAAAGAGCTCTCCAACTTCTCCACCTTCTTTCTCCGATCTACGACGAACCAATCGTTGGATTTATTCGGACCAATTCTTGTGTGATTTATGTTTGATGAAATTGATTGTTGGAGATATTCATTATATGTTCATGATATGATGAGCATGATATTGTGAATTGTAATTTTACATTATTTTTGCATATGCATGGGTTGACACTATATTCATAGGCATTGGCAAGAGTGTGAGTGTGTGGATGCATGAGTTGGTCAATCACCACATGGTAACGGGTGGACTCGGGAAGTTTGGATCAAGGGTCAATTGAGTTGCACGGAACATTGTATAGAAAACTTGTGTCAGGTATAGGAAGAAGGGATAGATTCTCCTTCGGGTGCAAGACCCAGTTACTTGGTTTACTCACTTGACCAATGGTAAAATTCTAAAAAAGTGTGCTGGCGTACTCAGAACCGGAGGTGTGATGCCCTCAAATGTCGTGTTAGTTTGGTAGACCGTTGGTGTTATGTCTAAAAATTATCTACTCAACAAAAACACAGAGTTGATAAATGGTCATTGGATGCATAGTATCAATGGCAAGGGCTTGGAATATCTGGATGCATACGCAAGACAAGCCATGTGTTATGGGAGCCGGTAGGGGGATCGGGTTTGCACTGCATGCGTGAGTTCCATCTCATGACATGACATGAATTGTAATATTTATCTATGACATGTATATGTTTGAATAAATGTTTGATATAATGACTTGCATGTGACATTTCATATGCATTTAGGGTTGGATAGTGACATCCTTAAGAGATATTCTATTGAATATGGCTCACTCTTTATGAAAATACATTTTAGGTGTTATACAAACTTCAGTGCACGGCCCTCACTCGAGCCCCGTGTTGACGACAGAGCCCGGATTATGGCTCTTAAATTACATTTTGTAATCTAATGTATAACCTTGTTTTGGCCTTGTGAAAAATATATGTAAAGCTAGTATTTTGATAAAGGCATGTAATGGAATATTATTCTTTTGTAAAACAAATGAATGCAATGGGTGTTTTATGAGTTTATTGGGTTAAAAAGTTAGTTATAGAGAGTTTGGGAGAAATTTGGGCTCCAGGTACCTATCATTCAGAAAGCTCAGGTACCAGTACCTAGGCTCATAGGTACCGGTACCCCATTGACAGTGGGCTCAGGTACCGATATCTAAGCTCACAGGTATTGATACCACATTGTCGTAGGCCCAAATAATGGTTCCTGGATTCCAGAATGCCCAAATACCAGTACTCTTTACCTAGGTACTGGTACCTCTTCAAAAAAATTGAAATTTTAAATACAACATTACCGAACCTTCACATCTTGAGCTCTTTTCTTTGAATGATGTAAATGGTTAAATATTTAGCCTATACTTTAGGAAGTGGAGCTTGGAAAGGTCGTCTGGTTAATATATGCACAACTTATGTATTGGGTAGTGCTCTCCATACAAAGGAGACTATGCTTGAATTATGTCTTGTTTATGATCTCGGTGAATATGGTGTAACAACGTGGTATTGGGTTATACAATATCCACAGGTATTCTACGAATTTATGGGTTATCAATGAGTTGAGAAAAGAACCCCCGAATTTCGGGGTATCACAATGGTGGTGGGGGTAGGGCAGTGCCACGGGGGAGGGTGGTGGGGATAGTGGTGATGATGGTAAGGTGGTGGGACAGTTCCAAACATTATTTTTTTTTAAAATACTTATGAGAAGTTATAAGTCTTAAAAATAATTTTAAAAAGTTACCCTAAGCACACCCTTAAAGACATATTTTCTCTATTAAATTTGGAATGTTAATATTAGCCGTCAGATTAACTTTAAAATAAAAATTAATGAGATCTTAACTGCAAAAAATAAAAGCTATTTTATTTATCTTTTGAAATTTGAATTGTATTGTACTTTATTATATAAACTAGTTATTTTTCATGCCTGAAGGCACAGATTAATAACAAAAATAGTCAACAATAAACATATTTGTATTCATACCCAAAATTAAATTATAAAAAAAAAAAAAATTAAGCATTGATTGTAGTATAGATGAGCGGTGATAGTTGTAGTGGTGGGAAACAATGATGATTATAATGGGTAACGATGACCATGGTGGTGGTGGCAGTCATGTAACACAATAATGATGGCGGTGGTGAATTTTGGGTGATGATGGTAGTAGTGGGAGCCATGAATGACGGCGGTTGTGGAGCTGGGTGTGGATGGTGCTGGACGATGGTGATGGTGGTTGATAGTGGTGGTGGTGGGGCGACGACAGTGGTGGGTGATGACAATGGTGATAGTGGGTGAAAATGAGTGCTTTTGGGTGATAGTGTAATGAGCGGTGACGAATGACAATGGTGGTAGGTGTGGGTGACAGTGGTTGACGACGATAGTGGGCAACAACAGATGGTAATGGGTTATGGTAATAGGTAGCAGTGGGCAATAATGGTGGTGATGAGTGCTGACGGTGGGTCACAATGGTAATGGTAATAAATATACAAATGAGATGGCGATAGTGGTGGGTGGTGGCGGTGGACGATAATGGTAGCAATCAGTTGTGGGTGGCTATGGTGGTGGTGGGGGTAGGGTAAGGGTAGTGAAGGTGGGCCAGGACGGTGGTGGTGGAGTGGTGGTTGGGTAACGGTGGTGATGGGGTGATTGTGGTTCTAATAAAGGTAGTGGTAGGGTGGGGTGGCGACGACGATAGTGGTTGTGGTAACGGTGGTGGGGCGGTGGGGATGATGGGGGTGGTGTGGTAATAGTGATGATGGTGGTGGAACGATGGGGTGTCGACAGTGGTGGTGGTGGAGATAGTGGTGATGGTGGTGGAGTGACGGTGTTGATGGTAATGGTGATAATAGTGGGACAATTTCAAATACCAATTTTTTTTTTTTTTAAATTTAGAAGTTATAAATCATAGAAGTACTTTTAAACAATCACATAAAATACACTCTTAGTGGTCTATTTTTTCTATTAAATTTGATGTGTTAATATTAACTATCGGATTGATTTTAAAGTAAAATTTTAAAAAATCTCAATTGCGAAAAATAAAAGTCATTTTATTTATTTTTTAAAATTTGAATTATATTATACTTTATTTTATATATATATTAACGAAATTTATAATTAAGATATTTTATTTTACGCCACAAATTGATCCCATACGACTCATACACACGAAGGATCACGGAGCGACCATATAGAAGCACGAAACTGTGTGTATGTGTAATGGGGCCCACGCATGTATCACTTAGCAACCCCCGTAAAACGACCTTTTTCTTTCTTTTCTTCCGTTTCGGTTTTCTCGGAGAAAGAGAGCGAGGGCGAGAGAAGAGCTTCATTGATACTCAAGCGATCGCCAAACTTGAATTAGGGTTTCAGAGCTTTAGATCGATTACTTATCGGCACTTCATCATCGATTCTCCATGTGAGTTTCCATCAATCATGCACACACTTCTGTGCCTGTTATATCCCATATCTCTCCGTGTGTTTTTGAGCTAATTTTCTTAGATTGGAGGTTTTTTATCATTCAGATAGAAGATAAGCTTTACCAGATCAATTGGCGTAACTATTTCGGTTTTTCTTTAATTTTTCAATCATTTTTCTTGGTGTTTTCCTGGTGGATAATTCTCTTGATATATATCTATACTCTGCGTCTTCGATTTCCTTCTGTATTTGGCATGAATTGGCTGAATTTCTCTCAGAGGCAAGAGAAATTCTAGAATTCTCTATATAAAATGGGATTAATTCCATGTCCTCTTCATTTTAGATTTGGTTAATTTCGATTTAAGTTCGGTTGACTAGGTCTCACTCAGCGGCGGCTCGACACATTTTGAGACCTAAAGCGGCAACTGTAATGAGGCCTTTTATTTTTAATATTAATAAAAAAATTATATAATTTATTCTTCTTACTTTTTGAGATCCAAAAGTAGTAGTTAAGTTTTTATGTTCAAGTTTTGCTACCATATATATTTCAATTCATAATATTGCTAATCCACTTTATCTTTATTGAGACATAGACATTAAAGATTTTCATGTTCTTCTATCAATTTTTCTTTGTTTTACGCCATGATTGTCATATTACATGTTTGGTTATGATTGCAAAATATTTTCATTGTTATCTTGTATAGTTTCATGATCTTCTAATTCATTGAGTTTCCTTATTGACTAGTAACAAATTTATCAAGAGATCCTTTTTTATATTTGGATGGTGAGAGAAAGACAGTTCTTGTGTTATGGAGAGAGAGAGAGAGAGAGAGAGAGAGAGAGAAGTGGTTGAAAATTATGATGGTAAGGTTGGACTTACTTGACTTTTGAGTAGCTTTATTTTATAGGTAGTTTTTAAGAATTTCGAAATTAGGGAGCTTTGATTTTATGGGCTTAATAATAAGCCCAACCTACTCAGTTTAAAATTTTTCATTTAGGCTTAAACCTGACTTTATGTGGGACATATATTTCTTATGAAGTTAGATTTTTTGTTCGGCCTATTACTACACACTTGTAAATTTGGGACATATATTTCTTATGAAATTAAATTTTTTGTTTGGACTATTACTACACACTTACAAATTTGGGGCTTCCTTACAAGTGGGGCCTAAAGCCCGGCTTTACTAGCCATTCTATTGGGCCAGCCCTGGTCTCACTTCCGTGGTGTTGGTCCAATAGAATCCTACTAGTGGGGTTGAAGCTGACAGAAATCCAAAAAATTTGAGATTGAGAGGATTCATATTAAGGTATGCATACCATGTGGGTGTGTGGATCTTTAGTGCGGCTTTGCTATTGTTAATTTGTCTTGAGGAGCTTTGGTAATTGGGATACTTGAATGCTTTTTTGATCCGGATAAAATGTACCAACAATAAGTTGAATTGTGAACTCATATTATATGACATGGATATTTTAGGGTTCCGAATGGAGTTTGGTATATTTCATGAACAGAACTTATGCTCTGTTTTGTTGAATGCATTATGCTTTACATTGTAGAATGACCTGTACCCTGACAATCTTCTTGATCCAATCAAGCCCGAGAGTGACTGTTATCTTATTTTGGGAACGTGACTTGTTGTTGAAAGAGTCTTCAGAAAACGCTGAAAATTGCTGTTATATTAGTTTAACAGCAGGACAAATGGAGCCTTAGATGCAGAAACTCAGTACTTATTGTGTTTCGATTCGGTCTGTTTATGTGAGTCCTGAAACATATACACAAATTGGTATTTCTTTGTACATGTGATGTATAAGTGTACATGCTGCTTTAGTTTTCAATTAATAAAAATGGAGAGTGGTAGTAAGTAGACATATGTGAAGTAGTTTTAAGTAGTAAAATTTATGACTAGGAATCTGGGATAGATACTTGAGAACTTCGACTTCGGCATCTACCCAACCAAATTTTTTTTTTTTTAATTTTATTTATTTATTTATTTTATTTTTGGGAGGGGAAAGAAGAAGGGGGAGGAGAGACTTGAACCCTTGATCTCAAGAAGGTAAAACGTTTACAAGACAAGGAGTATTATTGGACCAAAAGCCCATTGGTGCATCCACCCAACCCAGATTTGCATAGTTACTACCTAATGTAAGGATCACAAGTTGTGAGTACTTAATCCTTTGGTTGCTAAGAAAAAAGAGGATAAGGAAGGGGGTACTTGTATCTTCATTTTTTTAGGTTTGGGCCAGTAAAATGCTAGTTTTAATCACGTCAGTTAGTTTTATTGGCTTTCTGATCTGTGTTTGGTTATAGTTTCTTCAGATCCCAGTTATTGAAATTTAAGATTTACGGCATTGGATCCTTTTCATTTCTTGCATCTTACCAGGCTAATTGTGGATTGGAGTTTTGATGTATACAGCTTGGAGCCTGGTGATTAAAACTGGATACTAGAAATATTTGAGCTTGGTTAAGTGGAGCTATTGAGTTTACGCATGCCCGTGCAATATTTGCTTATATGCTTTTTGGCGTCTGTTGGAGATAAAAATTATGTTTGATGAAATCAATGATTGGCTTTAGGTTTAAAATGTCATTTGCACATTGAGAAAGCATTTGCAACTAAGGTGATAGTTTCATTATTAATGAATACCTGTGGGGTCAGTGCTTGGCTATGCTATATTTATGGACTTATTAATTTGAATTGTAGAAGATATAACCACTGTCCTCTATCTCCGAATGATAACAATTAGTGTAAGCCCCACACTTGTGTGTGAAATTGAATAATTAGGCTTACTATCATTGGGGTGCTGATTCATTTCGATGGCATTTTTATGTGTGATATCTGCTTATACTATGCTTTGCTCCTTTTTTTTTTAAATGAATTTGTTGACAGCAGTCACTTTTGTACACCACAGCAATGAAGGCAGGAACATCTACTTTGAATCCATATGCAGCATCATATGTACCGCTCTCTAAAAGAGGAGCAGCTGATGGAAACAAAGATTATAAGAGTGGAAATGAGGCTGTATGGCTGGGTCCCCATTCTGAGGGTACAACAAAAAAGCAGCAACAGATTGCTGAGGATCCTACATTGAAAGGTTACCCTGTTCAAGGATTTTATGGTTCATCCTCACATAATCCAAGGGAGATGACAGAAAAGCACACCATGGATGAGGTTTTTGACATGGATTTGGCATATCTTCAGATGACATTTCCTGGTGTATCTGATGAGTCCCTTTTCGATGTCTACTTGGCAAACAAAGGCGACTTGGAAGCCACAATTGACATGCTGAATCAACTTGAGGTAGTACTTATAAATTGTTAACTTTTTGAGTCTTAAAAATGTGCTTCATTTCATGTTAGTCTTATTCTGTGGTCCTTTGTTTGTGGTTTCTTAGGACTCTGTCACACAGTGTCATCTCTCTGGTTGTTTGTTCACTTGTCCTGGTGCCATGGATAGTCCTGTTTATGAAGTGTTTCTTGCTTCTTTCTTTTTGCCTAAAAGTTAAGTATTGGAAATTACGGATCCACATTTTAAAATATATTTTTTCTTTCTTCATCTCCATATTATCATTTCCGATAAGAAGCACTGTAAAGTTTTTGTTTATGGATCCAATGAATGCAAACGTGTTCGGATGGCCACTTTTTTGGTTACTAGAATAAAACAAAAATGCATGCACTTTTCATGTTGTGTTCAAATTGGCTGTGATTGCTGACGGGATGAAATTGGAAGTGTTGGAGCATCCGATTTAAAATCAATTGGTAATGAGTGGAGCATATAAATCTACCTTGGGTGGTCCTAATTATTTGATGTGGGATACATGCTCTCTTTTTATCCTCCCTCTTGTGGGACTCGGGTTTGCACGTCGGGCTAACAAACAAACAGGCAGACAAACATGCATACTAGAACATTCAAATGAGTAAAGATACCACATTATAGCAACCAATTCCAAATTAATTGGCAATGAATGAGTAGAGAAACTCCTTAAGCATATAATCAGCATTGGGTGGTCCTACTCATTCAATGTAGGATACAAGCTCTCTTTACAAGAAGGACTAACCTTTTCATTTAAGGAGGCAAAGAATGATATTTTGGCTGGCTCTTTTTGCTTGACAATTCTTTTTGCCCTTAATAATTTCTTGAAATTGCTCACTCTGTATGAACTTTCAAACTATTGGTGTAAAGTTTTATGTGGTTCATTATATTCATCAGAAAACCTTCCTTTATCGTGAACTTATGTTCTCATAGTGCTGATATCATTTTTATCGGTTTTGGAGTGAATTAGTTAGGAAACCTTAGGAGAGATCCTTTTATATTGTCTATGTTGGTATTCCATTTGACATTGTACACAGTGGATCATTTACAACTTGGTGCTTGATTACATTTGGTTAATCATATTTATATTGCACAATGCTTTATTACATTGAATTTAGTTATGGTGGGTAGATTTTTGAGGTGGTAAATGGTAGAATGCGTGTGAGAGTTGATTGGAAGAAATTTCTAGGAAGACAGGCTTATATTGGCTGGTAGATTTCAATGTGCATTTGCTTAGTCATCATTGGTCCAATTCGTTATACAGTTTGGTTATACAAACAATTTTTAGTTTGAGTGAATCATGTTGGGGCTGCCAAAGCAAAATTCATTTATATTATCATTTACTTTTCTTAATTTCACTAGTTTTCAATTATCTTTTGTATATGGTCTAAACAACCATCTTTGTTATGTTGAACAACTAGTCCCTTTATGGAACTGTCGCAATTGACTAACTTTTACATCTCATCATATTTTTGATTGGCTTGCTGTTCAAAACTAAAATGAGCAGTAGTGATGCTTAATGGCATTACTGCTTTGAAAAGTGCAGCTTTCAAAGTTACACTATTGATTCTTTATGTAGAATTTAGTTATTTTCTTGCTTGCAACTTGCAAGCACTCCAAATGACTGGAATCCCAATTAGCTTTTTTGCTGTTTTTTTTCTTTCCCCTTACCCAACAATGATCTGAGTTGTAATTTCCTCTATGTAAATAAAGAAAGAGCCATGAATAGAGTATTTGATCTCTTGACTCTTTTCAACTATTTGATTTCTTTACACTTAATGGGATCTTTGTTGTTGTTCCACAGCTGTACAGCGTCGATTCTTCTGGAAAGCTTCCAGACTCATTGGACATTGGTGATGTTTCAGAGTCGGGGTCTTCTAGCAATCACGCAGCGCAGAAACTGAAGCAGGTGGCTGGTGAGATCAGTGTTTCTTCGTCAGGTCCCTCGGACTCTGCTATTGTCACCTAGCTAAGGCATCAAAAAGTGATGTCAATAACTTCCTGTGGCCTTTCTGGTTCTGTAAATATGAATTGTGGATTTGGGAAGTCGTTTTTGAGTCCTAAGTAGCATCTTTACAGTGTTTTTGTTCTGATTGTATAGGTCTCAGCTGCTTGTACCTAAACAGTCTCTTGGAATTATAGGTTCGTGATCATTGGTTGTTAGGTTAATAGAAATTTTCTGTACTGAAAATGATCGTGGATTGTTAGTACTTTTGATTCTAACGAGCGACGGTATGCTATGGTGCAGATGTTACATTGCAGTGACGAGAGCATTTTATATCTATCAATTTGTTTTCTCTTCCGATGTGACGATAGGGGGTTTTTGTTTTTTATATAGACAAAACTTAGGGTATGATTATACTTGTCAAAGAATCAGATTTGGACTATTTAAATTTGATATAAAAACTCTAATTCAAGTTTGATTTGAATTGGATTGGTCAATGAATTCGATTTTTCTTTTGAAATGTGCGGTGAATTTTATTTTTTTTAGTCCAATTTTTTTTTTATTATAAGATATTTAGGTTTGTGTCGACTATTCTTTCTAGTTCAGCGTCTCCTGACCACTTTAACTTGAATTGAGTTGGGTTAAAACGTGCCCTGGGACGGATTACTAATTTTTCGGTCCATAATTGAAGTGGTAGAAGTCTAAAAGCTGATCCAAAAAAATGGATTTAATTAGAATAATTCAGAAGGTTTATCAAATTTTATCATATGAAGTTTAATTTTTAATTCAATTTTTTTCAAATAATATTCTATTTTATTACATAATAATTTATTCATATACCATAATTGAAGTGGTACGTATAATAATTTATACATATAATCGTTAGATTAGTTGTAATTTTCAAGATTAGATAGAGTTAACGTTCAATCTAACGATTGAATTAAGTCTAAATAATATTTTTAATGAAAAATTATAGAGTAAATTAAATATGTAGGTAGAAGTCTAAAAGCTGATCCAAAAAAATGGATTTAATTAGAATAATTCAGAAGGTTTATCAAATTTTATCATATGAAGTTTAATTTTTAATTCAATTTTTTTCAAATAATATTCTATTTTATTACATAATAATTTATTCATATACCATAATTGAAGTGGTACGTATAATAATTTATACATATAATCGTTAGATTAGTTGTAATTTTCAAGATTAGATAGAGTTAACGTTCAATCTAACGATTGAATTAAGTCTAAATAATATTTTTAATGAAAAATTATAGAGTAAATTAAATATATAACCTTTCAAATTATGACATATGTCAATTAAGTGTCAGAATTTTTTTTTTTTGCATCAATTGAGCCCATAAAATCTCTAATTATGTCAATTGAGTTTTTCTGTCCATCTTCGTTAAATTTTTTATAAGAAAGTGATGAAGTGTGCCACTTACGTGATCCAAATGGGTTGTAGTCTAATCACGTGAGTGACACACTCTGTCACTTTATGAGGAGAAGGGTTCAATTGACACAGAAAAAATTTAGGAATTTCATTGACATAAAATTCATAGAGAGGATTATATGCATAGTTTATTCAAAATTATATAACAGATTAGGAATCATATTCACATAGGCTCAACGAATTCGGGTTGGATCGACCCGCAACCCGACGCCTTCCAATTCCTCCTCTTCTTTTAGTGTCTTTCTTCTGGTTTCAGCGCCGACCACTGACCACCCCTCGCCTAAACCTTCAGCCGTGACTGTGAGGCTTAACTTGGTGGCTACAGATATCAGGGAGGAGAGACGGAAAGAGCGGAGAGACAGAGAGAGACGTTATGCCAATGGCTTTTGTTTTTGGTGAGCAGACAGTTCAAGTCTCAATATATCAACCATGAGAAGGACGTCGTTGTGCATAATTTAGAGCTGTAACTTGTCTTTAAATAGTTCCGTTGGACTGAATTCCAATGCTACTATTCAACTTACTTTAGCTGTGCTCTGTTTGGTTGCCGAGAAAAAAAGGGTGTGTTTGTGATTGTCTTTTCAGTTCTGGGCTACCCGGAAATTCAAGAGCTTCCGTTTTTTTGAGCTCCAATACTATTATTCCGCTTAGGTTTCGTCAAATTCGAGTTTTTGTACTTTTGGTCCCTGAAACAGCACTGAATATGATTCCCAGATTCTGAAAAAGCATGAATTTGTGATTGTCTTTTCAGTTCCAGGAAGCCCACAAATTGAAGAGCTTCCGGTTTTTTTTGAGCTCCAATACTAGTATTCAGTTTAGGTTTCTTCAAATTTGAGTTTTTCACTCTTGGGTAACTGAAAGAGTACCGAGTATAAATTCCCAGAATCAGTGTCTGTATTTTCTCTCAGTTTTCTCGGAAGCCATTCAGTGGGTAATGTTTTGCATATTTATTGCAATCAATAGATCCTTCAGCTGGCTTTATTGGAGAAAGCCTGAATCTTGCTTTTCCCAGCAATGCGTTTCTGTGTAATTGCTCGTTCACAGACAATTTGCGAAAGGCCTTGGGTTTTGTGTCAGTTTGTGGGGTCTTCATATTCTGCTGTTCAAGCACTTGAATTTCCTGAAGAAAATGTGACACCAAATTGCATGGAATTACAACAACGAATGCAGAGTTATGCTACATCAGGTTGCATTAGGAAAGCTCTTGAGACTATGAATTACATGAGGAATGTGCCTGGGAAACCGACAGTTTATGATTTCAATTCATTGATTTATTGTTATTTGAAGTCAAAACACGTGTCATTGGAAGAATTGGTTGAAGTGTATTTTGGGATGAAGAGGTTTGGGCCGTGTCCAAATGCATTGACTTTCAATACCCTCTTGAATGGGATGGTTGCACTAGGGAAGTTGAAAGATGCGTTTTGGATTGCTGAGGAAATGTGCGCAAGTGGGTTTTTGCCTTCCTTTAGTTCCTTGTCAAAATTGCTGAAGAAGTTATTGGATTTCGGGAGTTTGGTGGATTCACTTAATGTACTGGAACTGATGTTGGGATGTGGCTATTTTCCAACTGAACCCACTTTGAATTTGTTGATTGTTGGCCTTAGCAGAGCTGGGATGGTTAGTGAGGCGCACTTTGTGTTTTCTATTCTTCTGGGAAGTGGCCATTTTCGAGGTGCGTATAGCTATAATCCTATATTATGGGCTTTGTGTAAATCTAATAAGAGTTATAGTGCATTGGCATTTTTTTATTCCTTAAAGAAGAAGGGTCTTCTAGATAATGTATGTTCATATACAGCTTTGATTTATGGGTTTAGTAGGGAAAGATTATGGGAGGAAGCTTTCCAATGTTTAAATGAAATGAAAGCTGACGGTTGTAAGCCTAATGTGATTACATACACTGTAATTATAAAGTTTCTCTGTGATAATGGGAAGATTGGAGAGGCATTGGGCCTCTTGCAAAAGATGGAAAAGGAAGGATGTGGTCCAGACTTGGTAACATATAATGTTGTTCTTCGTGAACTTTGTCAACAAAATATGGTTGTTAAAATTGGTGAGCTTGTCCAGGAAATTGATCAAAGAGGATTTTCTCCTGATTCATTCACCTATGCTGCTTTGGCTGGGGGCCTGTTAAAAGTGGGCAAAATAGGGCTTGCCAATGAACTGTTGCTCGATATTATATCTAGGGATTGCAGGGTGGATGCTGCAGTTTACAATATATACTTCCAGACTTTTTGTTGTGACAATAGGTCAAGAGAAGCATTATCTTTGATGAAGAGTATGATGGAGACGGGCTTTAGACCTAATAATGTATCATATAACACAATTTTGAAAGGAATTTGTGAAGAAAACAACATTGATGAAGCTCTGGAGTTCTTCGATCACATTGACTGGAGCACAAATGGGCCTGATTTGATTTCGTTCAATACGATTTTGTCTGCAGCATGCAAACAGGGAAACTCTTCAATGATTCGAAGGATCTTGTATCGAATGGAGTATGAAGGTGTTAAGCTTGATGTTGTAAGTTCAACTTGTTTGATTCAGTATTTCTGTACAGTTGGGAAGATTCCAGAGTGCTTAAAGCTTTTGGAATATATGATGAATAGTGGTCCTAGTCCCAATATAGTGACTTTTAATACCATTCTTGTCAACCTTTGCAAGAACCGGTTGCATGGAGTAGCATGGAGGATTTTCACGTATTTAAAAAGCTCTGGGATTTTACCCAATACAACTATGTATAATATACTCATACGAGCTGCCATAAAAGAAGGCAATGAGTTTCTGGTGGGTCAGTTATTAAGAGAAATGGCTAGCCAAAGGCTAAAGCCTGATGTTGCTACATATGGTTCCTTTATTTATGGCCTTTGTAAGGAAGGGAAGATATCAGTTGCTGTCCAGGTGCGAGACCAAATGCTTGAGAATGGGATTACTCCAAGTGTGGATATATACAATACGATATTGGAGGCAATGTTCAAAAGAGGGAAGTTTTGGGACATTATCTCAGTATTGAAAGATATGGCTAGGGATGGGTGCGAACCTGATTCAGTCTCTTTAGATATTTTACACCGAGCAGCGACAAAAGGTTGGATGAAGGGTTTTCCTAAGGCTGCAAAATGTCTGGGGTTTGTGATATCTGGTAGTTGTCAAAAGGAGGCACGTCACAAGGAGATACCATGCTGATTGACCAAGAGAATTGTGCCAGATTTGATTGCTTCATTATCATGACTCGCACCCCGTAGCTGAAACCTGTTTTGGCTTGAATGTTGTTCCCCGCAGACTCTATTCAGAACTTGGAACCAGGTGTGTAATATAGTTACTACATAATGGGTACTGAAGAACTGGAATTCTAAATTTTGGTAGTTAATTCAAAAGAAACCTTTTGCTAGTTACACATCCCGCCTCCCCACCAAAAAAAAAATGAAAAGGAAAAAGTTGTTTCTCTTAATGAAAGGTTATATACCATGACCTAACAGTCATCTCAATACTAGAAACAAAATGACTTGCTCAAAATCTTCTATAATCTTCTCTAAGCTTTTAACATGTTATCATAATCGACAAGATTACTTATCCTGGTGTTATTTATTTATGTGATATGTCAAAGGTTATACAGTTACTCATTGATCATTATGTATGAAAATCTTTTAGTGGTTCTGCATAATTCAGGTTTTTTGCGTAGATGTATATGTGCTTACCTGCGCACAAAATTTTTAAAAATAAGAAGCGAAGTACTGTACTTGATCATGTAATCCTTCTTTTTGGCTTGTATTTGAGGGATTTTCTACCATGGTCAAAAAGTAAAAAATTTAAAGTGTCTTTGGGTCAAGCTGCTTCCTAAAATATCCTTCATCAAACAATAATTCATGAACACCCGTTATTCGTTAGCATAAGAAATGACGTTATTGCTAAAAAATCTGTTCCTTGATGGAGTGTTAGGGATGATGAATACATTCCTTCCTTCGGCAATACTGCATGAAGAGAAAAACCAAAAATGGACTTGCTTGAAATCCTAGGAAGTTGGATGAGGTAGCTAATGGGACACTTAAACACCTCACCAGGAATTTTGAAGTTAGGTTTAATCAATAATTTATCTCTAAGAAGTGTTATTAAATACTAACAGGTGCTAAACTCTCTGGCACTGAAGATTTATCTGCTCCTTGATTAAGCTTTGACAAAAATAAATTTGACAGTGCAATATTATTTTCATGAGTGCAATTAAAAGGCCCATTATTAAAATACATTTTAAGAAGGGCTTCTTGTGATTTTCAGGTATTTCTGAGCATAAATCAAGTCTATTATGCTCTCTCTCTCTCTCTCTCTCTCTCTCGTTAACTGGGTTGCTTGTTGGCCTTTTGTATAGTTCACCTAGAACAGCAGTATCAAATAAATAGAAGATTTGGAATGAAGCCATCTGGATAACGCTTACATATATGTTAGCAACCCTAAAGTCAACTCTTAGGTTGTCTAAAGTCCAATACAGTTACTGGATCTTAGATTGGATTTTGCATTTGTGTCTTCCATCCAGATTGTCTAGTGACCAAGTTGATTGGCTGTGAGCCGGAGCACTTCTTAAAATACATGGTATAAATGGAGTAGCAGTTCAACTATGACTTTTTGTCGTTAATTCCCTGTTTTCTCTTTCTTTCTTTGTTTTGTATTTTTCAGGAGTGCCATTTTGGTATTGAGCAGTGCTAGCCTGGATACACGCAATTGAAGAGGATCTGAGTTTGGAAAAAACCAGAACCCACAAATCCTATGCGCAGCCGCAATGATGATGGCGGTTGGTCCTCCACAAACTCGTGGATTGAGATTCTACTTAAGTACTTCCACATTCGCACTTGCCCTGTTATTTCAAACCACTGCTCCACCTTTTGCAGCTGCAGTCCCTGTTCATTGCATGTGCTCGATTTAAAGTTACCTCCTGCTCGAATTCGTCATTGATGAACGAAGAACCTATTTGTGGGTAAGTTGAGCATCCATACCTGAGGTAATGTTTTGGAATTTGACTTCCTACCACCCTGTGATTAGACTTTCGGATCTTGAAGACCTTGAAATTCCTCCATTTTAATTGCTTCTTGTCGCTTTTTCCACCCTTTTCTTTTGACATCTGTTCATGGCATGGCACGACTGTTTTGGAATGTCTAGAGAAATCAGTTGATCACATGCGACATTTCAACACTCCTGTTGATATACTTAGATGGAGACATAAGAAATTGCTTAATAAAATGATATATTTGATACTGAAAATGGATAGAGCTTATTTGCACTACATCAATCACCAAAATTTTGCTTTCTTGCTGTGCGATATTAAAACTCCATCCTAGTATCCTTCATAAGCTTGTTGGGGCTTCTCACTTTCATATAAATGATTTTTTCTGTTGAAGATATTGGTGTCATATCATGGGGTGACTTGCTCATTCCATGCCATTTTAGAAAGCTATTCTATTATATGCATACTTCGGGTTAACTTAACCTATAGAATACCATATCTACCAGAAAAAAATTGGAAACATATTGAGAGTACCAGTTGTAATTGCCTTATCCTTCTCATCTATTTTAGTCTTTTAAGATTTCCTTCCATTTCATGTTTATTAAATGATTTAGCTCAGTTCTACTGTGCTGTGTGCTATTCGAGGGAAACTACCAAACTATTGTCATTGTAAGAGCTAAATGATTTAAGTCAGTTTTAGTCACCACTTCCTAGAACTAATTTTATCCAATAGTTATGCTGTTTTATGTAGCCTTCAGAGTATTTATGCCACATTCTGCCTTCAAGAGCATTTTGGCAGCTTCACTTGTTCTTTAGTGAATACTGCTTCTGCGTTTTCTATGTTAAAATTACTATTGTTTTATGGTCCTTTTGGTGGTAAAGGGGGATTACTTATGTAACTATTGGACTCATTGATGGAGTTTTCATCTCTTGGTAGGGAGGAAAGAGTTGGTGTCACTTCTTTCTTTGCTTAATTCAATTACTTTGGAGTCTAAATGGGGTGGATAAAAGGTGTTGGGTCATTGACTTTGACACATCGGGGTTATTCTTGTGCAAGTCCTACTTTGATTAGTTGATTGATGATCTATCAATTCCTTTTTTTATCTGTCATTGAAGATTTGGAGAGTTAAGGTGCCATTGAAAGTGCAAGTTTGTGTGTGGGTAATTGCATATGGTAAGATTAATATAGTGTTATGTTACAAATAAGGAGGCCTTCTACTTGTTTGAACCCACAATGGTGCATTATGTGTAGAGGTAGTAGTGAAATCATGGATCATTTATTCCTTCATTGTCCAATAGCATTGTCGTTGTGGAATAAATTATTTGTGTTGGTGGGCCTTTGTTTTGTGGTCCCGATATCTATTTCATCAATATTTAGTGTGGATTTTAAAGGATAAGGTGGAGGTGGGAAAGGTGTGATACTATGACATTATGCTTTATTTGCCATTGTTTGGATGTAAAAGAATGCGAGATTTGAAGATAAAATGGAAGTGTTGGAGGGTCTATGGGAAAAGGCTTATTTTTTAGCTTCTTTTTGGGCTTTCGTTACTAAGGAGTTCGAGAATGTCCCTCTTTTTTGTATTATTCAAGTTGGATAGCATCTTGTCGATGTTGATAGTTTTGGCTTGGAAGTGCTTGTGGTGCATTTTTTGTTTTGTTTATGGCCACAAGCTTGTTTGTCCATTTTGGGTTGGACTTCTTGTCCAACTTCATGTCTGTTATATTACGTTATGATTATGATTATTAATAAAATATTGTTTCTTATTAAAAAAAAAAAAAAAGCCTAGAGAATAGGGGAATTATCACCTTTTTTTCCAAAAATGAGGGGAAGGCTGCAGCTTCATTACCATAGAGATGTATCTTTTCCATTCCTCCTGTCTTACTTTTGAATGAGCAATGTCTTACCCGAGTGAAAGAAGACAAGGCTGGCTCTCTAGCAATAAGTTGAGAAAGCGAAAGCTGGATTTTTATCCCTTGCTTAACCTACTGACTTGGAACTATTTAAACCCGACCGTTTCTGGGGCTCTTAAAAAGAAGAGGATAGATTGGTCCACGAGTTGAGACAGATAAGTTCTGACTAATCAAGTAGGAGTTACCCACGAGAGTCAGAGGCAGTATCAGCCCTGTCTTCCTTTTTACTAGGAGATAAAGCTCTCTATCTCTCTAAGAAAAAAAAGAAAATTAGCAACCACATTAACATGTCACTTTGAATGACTTGTCTTGTAATTGATATTTGGTGGGATCCATGGTTGGTTAAACTTTGAAAGTTATTCTTGTTGAGATCTCATCTCATTTTTTTCATTTCCCTTGGTTCTTTCCTTTTTTTTTTTTCCCTGAGATTTTTTTTTAGGGTTTTGGAAAGGGTAAAAAAACTCGATCTCTTTGGAATTGTACTGTGTTGGTTGTCTATCGAGTCCTCTGGCTAAAAACAGAAACAGGAATTTTTCAAAGATAAAAATGAGGAGGGGGGACAAATTGTGGGGAGGAGTTTAGTTCTTTGCTTGTTTTTGGGTTTCGGTATCTCCTCATTTTGTGGTAATCCCTTTGGACCTAATTGGGGCAACTTGGAAATCCGCTTGCAGAATATACCTTGTTGCCATTTTTTCGTGTTTCTTGTTTTTTATTCTTTGTGCACTGGAAGACTTCTTGTCCATTATCAATAAAGTTCTTGTTGGTGATTAAAAACATGGTGTATTCAGCACGGAGATCCACCTGCCTTTGGATTTGCTAAGATGTCAACTCATCTAGGTTTGAGACTCTCCCTTGTGTGAGATCTGTCCATGGAAGTTCCTCCCATTTTTCGGTGGTAAATATCTCTCTTTTTGAGCCTTTCCCTTGTGTTTGTGGTATGCAACGAAGGAAAACAACTCAAGTTTTTTTTTATATCTCTGGACATGTCAAATCTGTTGCATACATCTATTAGATAATTTTTTTCTTGTTTCCAACTATATTTGAAGCACATGTATGGAATTGATGGCTATAGGATTTGGGCAATTGGACTCTCAGGAATACTGAATTATAAAAAGCATAAAGCAACGAGGTCATTTCAAGAAATCTGAACACTTATACTCTAATTTAAGTGCTATTATTGGACAAATGGCACAAAAAAATCACAAACATGCACACATGCCAATTGATTTCCATGAGATTCTATGAAATTATAAATTCACGGTGGACTTAGTTGATTTCCATGGAACATCTGAACACCTCCAAGGGATAACCTTAATTAGCAGTAGGATAGCTCATGCTGTCTTGCTATGTAATGTGACAATGGAAGGACTATACCTTCCCTCAAATGCGTGAGGTCTCCTAATCATTCAGACACAAAGATTCCTCGCACGATCATTTTCCAGAGAAATTATGTTTTTACGTCCATTTTATGTTGTTTAATACTAAATTTAGACACTAGAAACTTTTTCAATTTGCAGTCCGAAGTTTGAGACTCAGATTTTTTAGATTCTGGGTTCATCTTTGAATTTTAGAAGAGAGAGTTATATGCATGATACATGAAGATCCACTGACAATCTTGATTACATCGTAAGGGAAAATGAGGGTGGATTATTATAAGGTATTGAAAGTGGGGAGGAATGTGACAGAGGATGATCTGAAGAAATTGTACAGAAGATTGGCAATGAAATGGCACCCAGGTAAGAACCCAACCAATAAGAAAGGAGCTGAAGCCAAATTCAAGCAAATCTCCGAAGCCTACGATGTATGCATTCCGAAGCGCACATACATGGTGCATTTTTTATTTCCATGTTTAGTTGATGAGAAAATCAGAGGGAAAGACTCTATATCAAATTCTGATCTCCTTCCGGGAAAAAAAAAACAGATTCTCATCATTTTTGTGTTGCCATGAGAGTATGCTTTTTGTTTATTCCTGGATTTAATAGTCCTTATTCTTAGTTATGTTAAGCTTTTGAAGCTGGTGGTTTAACAAGATGAAATCTGTATTAATATGATCAAAATGACTGTATATGCTGATATGTGTGGCACGACATTGAAGCAGAGTTTATTGTTCGAGCCTAGATATATAGTAGGATTGGCTTAATGCACCAGTTACATGTAAATTGTATACTCTTCGTTAAATTCAAATTCCTAGTTATTTCTATAGCTGCATGGTGAGGTTTTAGAGGGAAACTATCTATGAAGCAAGGGCACGGCACACAGACACGGTTACGGGTACGGTTACTGGTAAGGGCACTAGTACGAGTACGATACGATACGAATACGGTAATACAATAAAATCTAAAAAAATTGTATACAGATACGATCAGGATACGTCTATCACAAAATATATTTCATATTTTTACTATTATCTACTGACTTAATAATTACATATTTTTGTAATTCTTTAACATAGTAAGAAAAATTAATAATTTTTTTCTATTTTTAAAAAATTATATATCACATTATTATGGTATATTCACATAATGAAGTAGGTAATTAAAGGATTCAAAAGTAATATTTACTTAGTTAGTTTGTTTAGAAGTATTTGTAGCACATGTAATCGTAAATAATATTTAAAAAATATTCATGTGTCTTTAAAGTAGTATGTATTTTTGTTAATGTATTATATGGTATGTGAATTTGAAAGAAGGTATTAAAGATTAAATTTAAAAATTATACATATTGCTATGATATAAAAGTATCCTCGAAATATCCAAATATTTTATTAATTATTGGATACGTAAGAGGAGTATCCAATACTTATCTTTGAGTATGGGACGGGTATCGTATCCGATACGAGTACGCAGGCCTCACCAAAGTATCCGTGTTTCATAGGCAACTATATTACAAGTGAATCAATTGAAACTCCAATCGTTTACCATCATAAGAACTATAATCTCATTGTTTGACACAAAGCAGTAAGTTCTTTTTTTCCTTAGACTATTGTGAATTTTGGGGGATCCTAAATGAAGCATAATAATCTATGGCTTTATTTTCACCTTGAATTGCAGTAACAATGACTGTGGTTTAAGGAACTGCAAGGAAAAATATGAAAGACAGTTTTGGAACTTCGATCTATTTTCCTTCTTCTTTTGACCAGTAAACATGGACTCATGATTTTTTCCGGTGAAAATGGTCGTGGTTCCACAACTTCTTCTGGTGTTCTAGATTTTCCTTGAATTTGATGGAGCTCGTAGTGAGGCACTCTAAGGTCGGCCTGTTTTCAAAATATAGAAGCTGAATGCAGTAAATTCATATAGTTCTGTCAGGCGTTGCTCAGTTAAACTTGAACATCTTTGTTATTTGAAAATTGTATATTTTTCTATTCGCTTCCATTTGCATTAGTAGTTTTTGTTGGCCATCAGCCTGTTCTTGCTTCCTTGAGCATCACATATTTTTGAAGTGGAAAGATTGGCTTACTACCTTGAAGGTGGTAAAAATACTGGATTAGTCGATTCAACTTGGAACTGCCCTTATTTTTTATGAATTTGTGGAGTTAAAGCTTTGATTTATGCTAGTCAGCCAAACATTAAGCTCAACGATATGATGACTGTGTTCTGAAACTGANTTTATGAATTTGTGGAGTTAAAGCTTTGATTTATGCTAGTCAGCCAAAAATTAAGCTCAACGATATGATGACTGTGTTCTGAAACTGACATTTTGGCATTGTTATTAGTTGAGGGATTAACTTTGTGTAGCTGATGGCATCTTTTCCAGGTATTGAGTGACCCACAAAAGAGGCAAATCTATGATCAGTATGGTGAAACAGGTTTGAAAGAAATGCCATCACCTGGTTCTAGGGGCAGTGGTGGATTCCCAAATGGTTTCAATCCAAAAAATGCAGAGGATATTTTTGCTGAATTCTTTGGGAGTAGCCCTTTTGGATTTGGGTCTGCAGGGGCTGGCCGGTCCATGAGATAATCATCTGATGGAAGAGGATTATTTGGGAATTTTGGTGGGGGCAATAATATCTTTTGGACATATAGTGATGGAACTGTTGCTAGCATCCCAAAGAAACCACCACCAGTGGNTTTTGGTGGGGGCAATAATATCTTTTGGACATATAGTGATGGAACTGTTGCTAGCATCCCAAAGAAACCACCACCAGTGGATAGTAAATTGCCTTGCAGCCTTTAGGAGCTGTACTCCAGATCAACAAGGAAAATGAAAATCTCGCAAAGTCATGGATGCCAATGGGTTGGTGTACTTTTCCTGTGTTTCTATGTTGATATTTCCTTTCATTCATGCTCGGCAACTGTTTAAGTGAGATTTTGCAGGTATTTAAGTGTTTGTGCTTGTCATGAATAACTAGTTGCCTTTATCTTTTATTATGAGAGCTATGGTAATTCTGGAATTATGTGCTTTTTTAGTCTACTAGACCATGGGTTATTAATAACCTGCTGACATTTATGTTGCTCGTTGCCTTGCATGATACTGGACCAATTTCCTTGATAACTGATAAATCTGTTTTCTTCAGTTATCATCCATTTGGGTTGACTCCACTGTGATTAATGGCATAATTTTAGGAACCGAAACCCGAAACACTTGATTGCTTGGCTTCTGGACTGAAGATGATCTAGTTGTCAGAAAAGGAACTGTATGTTAGCCACTTTTTCTTTAACTGTGCTACTATCATTTCAATTGCAAGTTGCAACCTTTGCCATGGGATTTTGATATATTGTTTTCGTTTAAATGTGTACAACACAAGGAAATGGCATTGGGTCTTTCCATCATGCCAGTTAAATTCAGAAGACCACAGAGCAACTAATATACTGTGAACAAAGACATCATCTCCTCCATAGAGGAAGTATGCTTATCCACCTTGTTTTAATTATTTCTAAGCTTACTTGTGAGAGGTCAAGAAATGGGTCTAAAAATTTTCAAACTCTATGTATCATATTGATGGGGGACATGCTACTGCAAGCCCTTTTGTGTTGTGGCATATCTTTAAGTCAATGGTGCATTTAGATAACTTAATTGAGCATGTTTTTATATGCTGAAACATTTTAGGTGAAAATGATGAAGTAACCTTCAAGGACAATCGGTTAAAAAAAAAAAAACCATTAAAGGACCTTGTCTGAAACAATTTAATTTTCAAGCAACTTGCTTAAGAGAAAATTTGCATGTTTTGAACGTCTTACGATTGACCAGACAATTATCTGCTTCCTATGATTCTTCACTGTATTAGTATGAAATCAAATTGTAGAGCTGTTTATTTTTATATACATATCAATACACTTCTCATTTATCATTTATTTTTCATCTCCAGAGCAGCATATCATCTTAGCTGGTTTACAAGTTGTTCCTCATCATCATTTTGAAATTGGTCTGTTAAGCATTGTGCTTTTATTGACTTGCTGAATTGATTTCGTGCGAGACATCTTTTTATGCATTGGCTATACGATACTTTTAACTATGGGAATGTAATTACTGCGAGTGAGATAAGAGTTAATGTTGACCTCTTTGAAATTTGCTGCTATGCACCAGGATATTTCATTCTTCTCTCGCTAATTTGATGTAAAATCATGTAAAAATGACAGTTTTTTTGCTAGCAACAGAGATATTATCGATTGGCGTGAAGCCCGGATGGAAGAAGGGAACAAAAATTACCTTCCCAGATAAGGGGAATGAGCAGGTGAACCAGCTTCCTGCAGATCTTGTATTCGTGATCGATGAGAAGCCTCATGATGTTTGCATGAGAGACGGCAATGACCTGATCATAAACTATATAGTGTCACTATCAGAAGCGCTGGGAGGGACCACTGTGGATCTAATTACACTGGATGGGCATAATTTGTAACTACCAGTAACTGACATTGTGAGCCCTGATCATGAGCCCGTGGTTGCGATGGAAGGCAAATTGCTGAGGAGCCTTGTAATAGGGGGGTGGATTTGAAGTTAGGTTTCCTACAAGATTGACAGTGGAGCAACGAGCTGCAGTCAGGTGTGCTTTAGGGGGTTCATAGCCAATGATCTCTTTGGAAATGATGAGCTGTATTCGGCATCCATGCGAGAGGTTGAGTATTGATTTTGTCATGTATTCATTCATGCACTTGTTTGCTTTGTTCAGTTTGTTTACTTGATCATTACGGTATAAAATTTTGCAAATTGAAAATCTCTCTCTCTCTCTCTC